TGTTTCAGTACCATAGGTGAAAAAGAGGACTGTAGAGATTACAGCCCTTCAGGTGTCCCCAGCTGCTGTGGATCCAGCAGCTGCACCTCCTCACACCTCACCTACACTCACCATCTTGGCCTGTCAGTGTCCCATCTGCCAGCTGCCCTGTACCCTGCGAATGGAGGAAGGCCCCGATCTTGGCCGACCAGGCTGCCTTGTGCAGAACTTTAGCTTTCTTTGTTGGTGGCTTCCCCTACAAAAGAAGGAACATTAGGAACATGAGTGGCACTGGAAAGAAAGCCAGTCCCTGCAACTGGCTAGCAGGGCATGCTTCTCTTCTTTGGGCGATTTTCAGGTTACTACAACTTTTACTAATGCTCACAGGAACAAGAAGAAACAGCAGGCAATATATCAAGGTGCCCTTCCTCAGCTTCTAGGGAGCACCACCTTTCATCTGGCATGTGTTCTCTGGGGACTTCAGGCAGGAAGAATAAACCACTGGTAATGGCAGTCTGATTTTTAATTACAGAGCAACCACCCACCCCTGTGCACAGGCATATCCTGCTCCATTCCCTGGGAAGAAGGAAGGGTTTTGATTCACCTGCAGTCTGGCCAGGATGCTGGCCTTCTTGGAGTTTGAGGAGTAGCTTCTGGAGCAGGAGACACTGCAGAAACGTTTGGTCTTGGAGAAGAAAGCCTCCCTTGTACCCACAATCCCACACATCTCGCAGACAGCTGAGAGAAGAAAGGCACAAAAATGTAAGCAGTTGGCAGGGTTGATGCACTACAAGGACAGAAATTAGCCCAAGTAACCCTCTTTACAAACAGCAGTTCTCCCATGTAACCCAGAAAATGCACTCTCAGTTCACTGGTGCTCCCAAGCATAATCAAAGACCATACACCCTTCAGCTCCCCCAGCCCTTGTTCTTTCCATTGTACACGTGTTTTAGGTAGAACATGCAGGCAGTGCAGTACCTGGCTCGGAGCCACTGTCCTCTGTGAGTCGGCCTGTGGACAGTTGGTGCACAGGAGAGGTTGGAAGCTCTCCAGCCTCCCGGTCTGCCACCTCATCATCACTAGATTCATCCAGACAGGAGCTGCTGTCACTGCCCATGCTGCTGTTGTAGCCTCGGAAGCTGTCATAACCCCCAAAGATGTCCAATTCATCCTCCTCCTCCTCGCCTTCCTCCTCCATCCGCTCCAACGATGAAGTTTTGTGGCACAAGGTAGACACTGACTGAAAAAAAGAGACAGGCTGCTTTGAAACAGACATCTTATACCACACTCCACAATAAAACTGCCTTCATTGCCAGCGGGGGCCTCTTGGACCAGGCAGAGGCCTTGGGGTGAGAATGAGTCCACATAACAACCCTAAAGGCAGGAGTGAATCCCTAGCAGGGAAGCTATTACCACCACAACAGGTCTCTTTACAAATATTTCACAGGCTGCATTCTGCTACCCAAGAGAAAACAGACAAGACACAGAGCTGCAGCACATACAAAAAATCTGGAGGAATTTGGAAATAATACAGGGAACTACACTGCCATGCTGATGAAGACAGAGGAGACTGCATCTTCCCAGGCACTGTCTCTCCCAATATAGTTGTACAGCACAGCAATGCAGACACCATCAACATTAAAGTCACTGCAAACTTCTAGCACAGAGTGTAAAGCTGTACACTCTGGCCACCACAGCTCACAAGACCAGTACAGCCTGGATGTCAGCAGGACAAACTCAACTCTGGAGAAAGTTCATGTTCTTTGGCAACTCCATAGTCCAGAGCTGACCTCTGTTCAGAAGCTGCATCAGCAGGATGACAGAACAACATTTGTTAAAAGCTTTTGCCTACAGCCAGATGTCTCCACAACTAAAATCCACACTACCTCTTCAGTACTTGCTGTTACAGCAAGATTGCAGAGAGGCAGTGACTGAAGAAAGAGTACAGAAGTCCAGTGACTCTTTCTCAGACTAGAAAAAAAAATCTTAAACTGAGCTCCAGTTAAGTGCAAAAGAAGCTGGGAAAATGTGTTAGCAACTCATGAAAGAGCAGCAAGGAGTCATCATCAGCACCGGGAGTGATGGAACAGACAGGTAGACTGGAAGAGCCACACGAGGCACCAGGATACAACTGTTCATCCAAGCAGGCAACAACAAAAGATCAGCAGCAAGTCCATCATCTTCTAGTGCTAAATTCCCTCTGATTCCTGGCTCCTGGGTATTATTATAGACTTATGAACAGGAAAGTCAGACCACTCACTTCTGCCTCACATCCTCCCTGGCTTTCACACAAAACAGACCCAAGGTACCCAGGTTGTTCCCTGAAGACAGAGTTGGGTCTCCTGCAGATCCACATCTTCAGACAGCACTCCTGACATCTGAAATCCTGAACTCCTCAAAAAAAAAAGCACATTCATCTTTCTCACCGTTATCTGGCAGGTACGCCTTCCTTCCTCGTAGGAAGTGATTATCTTTGGCTTGTTACTCTTCCACAAAACGCGAATGAAACCTGGGACATGCTACAAGTTCCCAGGGCTGACAAGCAAGGACGGCACCACTCACAGCTTGCTTAGAGAGACAAGGGGGACGCAGAGACCCGAATCAGACCCATCAGACCCTCCAGCACTAGCCCGACCCCGGCAGCGCGGAAGCGGGGCTGGCAGCCACAGCGGGCACCACCACTACACGACGGCCGGGAGAAGGCGGCCCAGCGCTCCTCGCCCCCTCCTGGCCAGCCGCTACCCCCCGTACCACACCGCAGCCGTTACCCGCTAAAACAGCCCGGGCCTCAGGGCAGCGGGCGGCCCAGCCCAGTGTCCCAGGGATTTCCCCAGCACCCTGCGGCCAGCCCCGCAAGAGCCACAGCACGTCTCCGCTCACCTCCCCACGATCCTGCTCCATGGCTCCCGGGACGCTGCCAGCCCGCCTCACGCGCGAGGCGTCCCCCGCTCAGCGGAGCATCCGATTGGTGGGAGCCGGGAAAAGAGAGCCAATCAGCGAGGAGTTTGTTCTCGCCGCGCTCCCCGCGGGGCAGGCCGGGAGCTGTAGTTCTTTTCCTGCCACGGCGGCCGAGCGGAGCGGTCATGGTGCCTCACGGCGGCCCCACCCAGGGGCGGAGGAGGGGCCGGGCCCCGCTCCTGGCGGACCCACCCCCTCCGTTCTTGGAGGTCTGGATTAGCTCTGAGTCCCAGAAGTTTAGGTAAACAACAAAACAAACGAAAAAACGCCAACAAAACCCAACATTTCAGCCCATGGACGGATTTGACACCCGGTATCTATCAGCGTGTGGGTGCCAACACGGCGTCCGTGAAACAACGCGAGGCCGCGGGGATGCACAGCTGGAGCTGCACGTCTTAAACATGAGGGGGGACACACGGTTTCCTAAAAACCTTGGTAAGTGGGTGAGGATTTGGTTTTAGATGAGAGGAATGCCTTCAGCGTGGCAGGTACCAAACGTCACACTAGCAATGCCTTTGTCCCTGTCCCACACCGCTGACACCACCAGCGTGTCACCGGGGCTGGGGAGCCGTCCCTGGGTGCTGGTAAAGTGCTGCCAGGCAAGAAGGGTGCAGAGGGCAGAGACCTCGCTCCTTTCCTCCCACCCTGCTCTGCCCTGTCTGAGAACCGCACAGTAAATAACCCACTTGAGTTAATGCTGCTGCTCCCCCTGTCCTCATATGATCAGTTTCTGAGATTTCATGCACAAATAGATGTTTTATTTGGCAAAGAAAGTATTACCTATGCAAAACAGGCCTTGAAGTTCAAAATCTGTACAGATTTATAGCATAGCTTCTTCATAACACAAATACTTCTCTCTACCTTTTGGCTTTTTTTCCCCCATGGAAAAGTAGTGTAGTCTTAGCAGTACCGGTAACCAACATCCCTCACCCCAGCTCACTGTCAAGAACAGTCAGGAAGCAACTGTCACTCCATATGTCTCTGGCATTGATTCTCTTCTACACAAACGGTACGTCCCCTGGAGTTAGTGAGCTAATTCCCATTCTATCCCTTTTACTTCCTTATCACCTTCATTGTGTTGACATTTGAAGTGCTAAGGCTTGGACAACTGGCCCAAGACAGAGTTGACCTATAGATGAATCCTGTATATTTTATAACTGATAACCATTGTGCTAGTAGGTATTATACTAAGTTATAACAATGCACTTATGCTGGTGTAAAAAGTGCTAAAGCTTTGAAGTACTGAAGCCTGAACAACAGGCCCCAAGCCGAAGCTGTTAACTTAGCATGTAGTCATTAACAAAGTATGTCAACTCGCTAGTGAAAGAAGCAGCTTAGACAAATTAGAATCAGTAGTGCTGAATGTATCGAACTTCCCTTGTTTAGCCTTGTTCAAGGTTGAGAACCCAGGTATTTGGCTTTGTCAGAAACTCCCTTGGTTTCTCACCCCGAGTCCTGGCCAGGCTTTGGGTGGAATCCAACAGGAGAATGAAACCAGAAATTTTCTGCTCAAAAAAAAGGTGCCGGCTATTCTGGCTTGTCCATCTCTGGTATATAAGGCTGGGCCAGTTTGCAGCGACTTTGGAAGCCTCACCTATGGGTGGACGCACCGCGAAGGATTTCCCACTTGCCGGGACAGGCTCTCCAAACCCTCGCTGTAACCGGGGCTCCCCAGCTACTGCGGGTCTGGGTGACGATAATATATGCAAGCGGTGATGTATTTTTCTTAAATCTCCATTCTCTCTCTCGTGTAGTAATGATTTAATGCATTACCCTGTTTGCTGCTTTAAGTGCACTATTCTGCTTTTTCTTACTGCATGTTCTCTGTATTACACTGCTATCACTAGTAAAATACGCCTGCTCTTTTCACTCTGGTGTCTGAGTTTAATTGGTATCCTTAATCAGCAGAACAACACTGTAAAAAGAAAAAAGGAAAAGCCTGTCCTGAACCTTCCTACTCTGTACAGACTGTGTAGTTAGTAGCTAAGCAAGTAATGCCTTAAGCACATGCACAGTTCCTCTCGTGGATACAGTATGGCCTTAGTTGCAGGGGACAGTAAGGCAGCATGGAAGAGGTTTATTCCAAAGGCTTACCTACATTACAGATACACATGGATTGTTCTTCCAGACAATCCAAAAGTGCTAAAATGAGGCTCCAGCCTGTTGCTCTAAACACAATGGAGTGTCGCCATCATTGTGAACCACGCTGAGAATCCTAGGTAGCGACTGGGGTCACAGCCTAATTACAGAGGGACAGTGGCGGGGAGCTTGCAAAGCCTACTGTGAGCAACCTGATCAGCAAACTTCCATGGCGTCAGGGGTCCTCCAGGTTCAGGTTTTCCAAACAATCCTCCAGCGCTGTTTAGAAACAGAAAATTGCTTTAAAAGTATTTAAATAATGTAGTTGATAAATAAATTATAAAGGCTGCCATTCCCTTGCAAATACTGCTAGTACACTGTGACAGACACAAAGCTGCCACCAGAAAAGACACAGATAGAGAATTAAAGGTTGTGCTGGGTTTGTGTGGCAGGTTTTTGGTAGCGAGGAAGGGGGCTACAGTGGCAGCCCCTGTGAGAAGCTTCTCCAAGCTCCCCCGTCTCCAAGTCAGACCCACCTCTGGCCAAAGCCAAGCCAATTAGCAATGGTGGCTACGCCTCTGCGATAACGTATTTAAGAAGGGGAACCTGGGAGGAGGAGTGCAAACACCAAGGTCAGGGTAAGAAAAGGAGAAGGAATGGGGGAGTTGCATGTGCACGTGCCAGTCAGCCCCCCTGTATCCCATGGTGAGATGGCATGGCTGCCACCCATGGAGGTCAGCAGAGGAGCAGAGATTCACCTGTGGAGGACCCCACAGCAGAGCAGGCAGCTGTGCCCAAAGGAGGCCGAGACTCTTGATTCACAGAAAATAAGACTCTACAACTTGAATAGAGTTATAAAGCAGGTATGATTACTCTGGCCAGAGTGCAAGGGGATTTCTCCACAAAGCTTGCACACCCACTGCACATTTTACCAAAAATTTATAGAGTGTGAATCTACATATTCATTGGATTACATAACACAAACATACATATGCATGACCAAGGCTGGGTTAGTTCGAAAGGCTGGTGTCAGCAGTTTATGTTCTCTTTGCACCTGCGCATTGCCTCCTGGTGGGTGTGTTCGGGGGTCTTTGGAAGGAAGGCTCGTAGTCTCTCACCTTGGTTTTTCCCCAGAGCATGTGCAGATTCTCTTGGCCAATTTACTGAATAACAAGAGTGTTTTTCAGCTGGTTTACTCATTCTATCTTATCTAAGAGAACCAATAGAACTTCTACCATCCATACATGGCTATCTTTACTCACTACCAAGATTCCAACTAATTAGAGCACACCTGTTCCCCAAGGACAAAACTATAATATTTTGCTGAACATTATAGTTCTTGGTAGATTTTCACAGGGAACTGCTTTGTTTTATGAACGCAGTAGTCCTTGGTAAAATTCCACAGAGCGGTCTGGGCAAGCAGGATCCTTAGCAATATTTAAAAATACTGTAAGTAATACTATAACTTGCTATAAGTAAGTAAATAAGTTGCTAGGCATTTTTCTATAAGTAAGTAAATCTCAAAACAAGTAATCATTTCTCCGTATCACTCTGTGGGAAGAAGCAGCCCTGCTGTTGTAGTTTGGCACTGGGGAGACTGCAACACACAGGGGTGACCCAGGCTGGAGCAGCACAGGAATGGCTGCATCCCATGGGAAGGACTCATGCCAGAAAAAGTTCATGGAAGACTGTCTCCCATGAGAGGGGAACCATGCTGGAGCAGGAAAGAATGAGAGGAGGCCTCTTAATGAGGAGGGAGTGGCAGGACTGATTATAACCCCCATTCTCTGCCACCTGTGCTGCTGGGGTAGTGGAGGTAGAGATACTTAGCCAGGGAAGATGGGAGGGGTGGGGGGAGGTGTTTTTAAGATGTGATAAGCTTCTCACTGTCCCACTCCTGTCTGTTAAATAATGTTGTTAAGTGTTTGAATTAAAGTGATGTTCTTTTTTTTCTTCTCCTAAGGAGCCTGTCTTTGGCCTGTGACTGTAATGGCTGAGCCATCACTTCCTCTCCTTATCTCAATTCCCCAACCTTTTGCTTCATTTTCTCCTTCCCATTCCTGAGGGAGAAGAGGTGAGTGAACTGCTGCATGGTGCTCGGTTGCCCTTTGGGCTCAAACCATGACAGCACAGGAGTCCAGGATGCAATGGGAGGGATTATTCCTGCAGGACAGAGGCCAGGCTGCTTCTCAGAGCTGGATACAGGTGCTCAGCTCCAAGTTGTGCAGCTGGAACAGCATTTTGTACTTCAGCACCAGCTCTGTCCCTCATCACCAAACATTCCTTTAGGAGCACTGGCACACTAGCTCTTGTGCTTGTCTACTGGGACTGTCCACTCACCCAAGCTCTGAGGTGGGAAGCTCATGCTCCAGGTCCCCAGGCTTCATAAATTCATCTGCTGCTCCTCCCGAGCCACCTTTTTAATGTTCTACTCTCTGCCATTTCAAGAGCTTATAAGAATCCTGGCAGTCCATGGGCCTAGTTTCAATTCCAGCACTAAGTGGCAGTCATTCTGGTTACAGGACCAGCTTCCAAATCCTTGAGTGCACTGGGAATTGGCACACAGCTTTAGTAATGCTTCTCCTCTCACCTCCTATGCTGACACCGTAAAGAAAAAAAAAAAAAGGCATTGCAAGGGTTTAATTTCTGTCATCAGCCCTGGAGAAGGCAGCTATTTGAAGAGAAAACATTTAGAGACTTGTAATCCTTGGTCATATGTTTACAATAATGTCTGAAAAAGGAAAGTAAGATAGAATAGCTCAGAAAACCAACAAGTGAACAGAAGAAAATAAAAAATAAAATGTGTGCTGCTTGAGTTTTGGCAGTCTAATTTTACAAAGGTAACTGTGAAATTAAGAGGGAAATGGTCACCAGCCTGACCATGATGACAATGACAGTACAGGATTCCCTGCACCAGGTAGTCAGTAACCCAACTGTTCTTACTTGCAGACATTCCTGGCTGGGGCTGTCCCATGTTGGGCCCTTGATTCATGGGAGCCTGTGGCATGCCCGGAGCATTTGGGATCATGTTTTGCTTCTGCAGTCTGGTTCTTCGTTTCTCCTCCAACTCCTTCTGAATCTTATAGATCTTCTCTGCTAGCAGGTGATAGTACTCTGCCTGTTGGGGAGGAATACAATGCAGGAAAGATGACGACCACACATTAAGAAAAGGCAACAGGGTCACAGCGATCCATGCACGGAAAACACGTTTCAGTTTGGGTCGGGGTGGCTTCCCCCACTTTGTAGGGGCTGCCGGGCAGACAGGAGAGCAAAGAGGGGCACTGCTTGAGGCACTGCCGGCAACCACTAGCCCAACACCAGACATTTCCCTTCTTGCGTACAACACTTCTTTGGGAGAACCACACGCCTCGACAGGCGACGCACATAGGCAGTCCCAGGCCCCATCCAGCAGCCCCTCAACACACACTTCCTCGGCCTGGGACTCTCATCTGTGCTTTCACCCCTCGTCCTCCCCTGCCACTATGGGATCAAGGCAGAGATACACGTGACTAGATGAGGGAGGATCGCATCTCACCCTGCTGTTTGCCGATTCATACATATCTCCTTCCACTTTCCGAGCATACGCCACCAGATTCTCCATACGCCGATCCTTCAGTGCTGCAGGGTCAGGAGTGGGAAATATGGCTTGGACTCTGGGGAAGAAAAAAACCAATAAGGCACACAAGTGATTAGGATGTCCCCAGATGGGAACTAACCCTGGTGATCTGAACACAAAGCACCAAGCAGGTCTCCCCACAGACTGCAGCACTGCTACTGCTCCTGGGGGACGCTGCCCCGCGGAGATGGCTCGAGTACAGAGCGGGACACTCCCAATGCCACAGCCCCAAACCAGCAGATGCAGCTCCATTAACCATCAGGAAAGCAAGAACGCAGCTTTCAGGTTTCTGATTTCCCTTCTCAGGCACCCTGATAAAACTTCCTCCCTTGCCCCCCAGTTTTGGAAGGCAGGCCTCCTCCTGCCTCCTGCCTCCCACCTCCCCC